ATTATTGTTATTATTATTATTACTACGACAGCGTTAATGTCGGCGTCGCGGTATTCTGTCCAGACGGGATGTAATTTTTACCAGGGGAGCTCACTGTGACAATGTTTGTAGTAAGGGAAAGAAACTCAGCATTAAGTCCCTTGGACAGTATCCTTAATTTAGGCACCAAAAAATATTTGTAAAAAGGACCGGGCAAAAACTGTCACGTTCTTTTTTTTTTTTATAGGCTGAACAAGTTCTTCTCCCGTCCGTATCGTGTTTGTACATTTGGTGATGTGCTGCTTTTGCTTGGGCGTTGCTCGAATCTTTGTCGACAAAAAAGTAAGTTTGTTTAGTTTGTAGTTGTTTTGTTTTGTTTTTCTTTACAATTCTACTGCCAGGGTACACCGTAAGATGAGAGATACATTTTTTGGGGGGACCCAGACTCAACACAATTGACAGAAGGGTAAAAAAAAGTCCCTTAGCTTGAATTGCACTGACACTAAGAAAGAGTCAGTATAGCATCATGGTATGTGAATCTAGTTACAATTATATAATTAAGTATGTGAGCTTAAGCGGGACAAACAAGTTTCAACACGAAATCTAAACACACGCAACACTAAACCTGGGTTGCGAATGACCGGGGTGACTCTGATGTAAGCCATAAGCCATATGGTCGCAATACCTCCAGATGTTACGTTTATCGCGGCCGCAAGAGCCACATGAATGTTGGAACATATCATACTAATACGGAAAGCATGTGTTTACGTTAAATTTTTATCTAGCATCCTATCATTGGCATCAGAAACGCCATCCGCTCCTCCCCTAAACCCTGGCCTTCCCCTTTTTCTCCTTCATTTCTTTCCCTCTTACAAATCTCCTTCTCTAGATGTATTATTTTTTTTTAAAAGTTTTATCTTTTTGTTCCCCCTCCCCTCACCCGCCTCTCTTTTTCCAAGTATCATCTCCTCACCTAGCTGTCACTAGATACAGTGCTCTTCCCTCCACCTGCTCCCCCTCCTCCTTTTCCTAGTCATACGTTATTAGTAATGCATCCTCCTCCTCTTCCTCTTCCTCCTCCTGCTCCTCCTCCCCTCCTTCTCCTCTCTCTTCTCATCCCTCTTCTTCTCCCCCTCCTCCTCCTCCT